TGTCCCCTGGTGGTTGGAGCCCAGCTTCATCAGACTAGGCAGCCCCATGCTGCTGTGAGTGAGAACACTTTATGTGGGGATTGGAATCTTCATGAAAAGGACAGAAAAGAAAAATCCTATTGTGCTGACAAATCACCCTGAAAGCAGGCAGATTAGGAAGCCCTGTAACCTGCAAATGAAAACATATGGATCACTGAATTTTGTAAACCAAATCTATTCGAAAAGACCTCGTGATGAGAGCCACTGTTGGTGAACTTGGCTTTTCACAGGCAATGACAGGTTGGCCATGCATGGGTCTGGGCAGCACATGATTCCAAAGGAGGACAGCAGGACATTGTTGGAATTAGTAGAGAGTACCACCACCACCAACACCACACACACACACACACACACACACACACACACACACACACACACACAGAGAGTACAGGTTCAGGTGAGGCAGGGAATGCAACGGCTCACCGAGCACGCTGTACTGATCAGAGAGCTCAGGACAGAGAAGAGATGGAGAGAGAGAAGAGAGCCCGCAGCCTCCTGTGACCTTGTTGCTGTTCATCACCTCACGGTTCATTATTTTACTCCAAAGATCTCCAGTCTAGGGAGACTTTATATTCTCCAATATTGGAACAAATAAAGGAAGATGTACGGTGGCCCTTGCAGCCTGAGCAAGAAGAGGCTTCAGGAGCCTCTTTCAGAAACACTGACAAATATTTGCCAAAGGCAGGCACTGTGTTTCTGCAGGCGAGCAGCAAGGCCATCTCCAAGGTTTCCAGGAAGCCGCAGCAGAGCTGCAAAGCTGGACAGCCCGCACCCTGATTCCCATACTGCATGGGCATGAACAGATTAACTATTTATCTATTGTCCTGTCCTCCTCAATAAAACATCACAGTGTTTAAAGCAGTTGCCTTGATGACATTTGTGTGTTTTGGAATGCCGCCCTGGGCTAACCAATCACATCTGAAGATGTGAAAACATGAAAATCAATACAAAAAAATGAAAAGCCTGTCTCACTGATACAACACCATTTCTCTTCATCATAGTGCTTCTCCATTGCCTTCCTTTCAGGTGCCAGCATTGAAGCTGGCGTTGATCTGCAGGTGGACAGCTCAGGGAAGCTGGGGCAAGAATGAGCTTGCTCAGGCCATGGGGCCATGAAGGAGAAGCATCCTTCTCAGGCAGCCACCCACTGGTTTCCAAAAAAGAGCTTTTGGGTAGGGATTCCCAGGATATTTCTGGCATTTCAAAGCCCCCAGAAAAATAATAAGCCTACTTAGGGAGGAGGTTTCATGAGAAACTCACATGTTGGTGTGTTTTATAACAGGGTCTTGCTAAGTTGTCCAGGCTGCCCTGGAACCTGAAATCCTCCTGCCTCAGCTTCCAGAGTAGCTAGGATTACAGACTTACACGAATGTGTCCAGCAATTATTCTATTTTACAGAAGGGATCTGTAGATTTTGGTATGTGCAGGAATCCTGGAGCTGGATACTAATGGACAACTGTACATTGTGCTACACATAGGCTGGATGACAGCATCCCGTGTGTCTGCCGTGGGACCCGCACATAGATAGGACAGGCATCATCTGCTGTGAGAAGCTTGGCAGCATGGGCACGCTTGGTGATCCTCTTTTAGTCTCGTTCAAACTCAGAGGGTAACATGCAGAGAGCTTGAGGTTGGCCTGGGAGTCCCTGTCCCTGTGTGCAGCTTGGGTGCGAGCAGGGAGGGCTGTCCAGCAGTTGTCATGGCAACCAGCTGGGATGTGGTGGGCAGAGGCTCCATCTCCTTTCCTGCTCTCCAGCCATGACAAAGGTCTCGAGGTGGGGAGTCCCAGACCTCCGTGTCACTCGTAGCTTCTCATGCAGTGGGGTGGTTCTAAATGTTTTCCTTTTTCCTTATGATTTCTGTAGTCTGACCCCTTTTCTAATGCCTCGTACCTCAGTCATCCTGGCTTCCTGCTGGGTCCTCCAGGGACTAAGTCTTCTCCTGCCTGGGGAACTCAGCCTTGCTTTCCCCGTGAATGGCAGGCTCTGCACTTGACTCTGATATCCCTTTAAAAAATCACTTTGCCAGAGACCTCTCCTAAATGCAAAATCTAAATTAGACCGCCTTCAGTTTTCAGTACAATCGTCCCTTTGTATCCGTGGGGGCTGGCTCCATGACCACCCACAGATACTTACATCTGCATCTACCCAAGTTCCTGGTAGAAAATGGAGTTGCACATGCACATAGCTTGTGCAATCCTCCTCCCCTATACTTTAAATTAGCTCTAGATGGCTTCGAATTCCTAATACAATGTAACACTATGTGAATAATTACACCTTATTGTGAGGGAATAATGATAGGAAAAGTCTAGACCTGTTCAGACTTTGATCTGTGGTTGATTGGATCTGTGGGTGCAGAACTCCCCCATGGAGGGCAGACCACTGCTTTATGGAGGTTATTGCAATTTGTAACACTAGGCCAATGATAGCAAATCTTTTAGTTTTCAATGATATAAACAGCCTGCTGTGGCACATGGGCCATAGGTTTGCCACCACTGCACTAGGCTGTGAGTCTCCTTCTCTAGACTGCATTGTCACTTAACACCTGCTTGCTGAATCTGTGGCTGACTAACTAAATGAGTGGGTGAGTCCTACAAAGTAATCCTTTTCTCAAGAGACAAATGAGTCCCATGGTCAAACAAGGTAGTTGATCCGGTCTCTGGGTTCCTTAGTTTATTTTCCTTTAGCAGTACCGATAGCCATCAGTGTAGGAAACTCTGAGACGGGCTCCAGTTAGAAAACAAAAACAAGAACAAAATTGGGGTAAGCTAGCTTACCTTCTTGGCTGTATGGTTCCAAACTTTAGACATTTTCCACCCAAAGCCCATTAATATCCTACAGAATGGACTTTAAGAGCTGCCTGATCAGCAGCTTCCTGTCTGGAGGCTTGTAGTACGCAGGGTGTCCAGGCTTGGTTTGGGAATGATGGATCCTGCTTTGAGCACCTTCGAGTGCACTGCTGCCGGGGGCACACATGCATACATTTCCATAAGCTGTTGCCACTTCAGGAAAGACAGGGCTGTAAGCAAATTTTAGAGCTAGCTCAGGATTATTTCAGAGAGAAAAACAATGCAAAGACTTAGTGTTTGTTGATCTAACCCTTGCAGCTACAGCTGTGATCAACTAAACTTCCTGTAAGATTTGACCCCATGAAGCTGTTGCATGGAGGGGGACTCTTAGTTGATGAGTGAGTTAACCTACTGCCCAGCATTGCGTCTCAGTGTGGTTCTCTTGTTCTCAGTATCTGCAGCAACTCTTGAATTTCCAACAGATCTAAGTGAATTTTATGACATGCAGTATGAGAACTAGTGAAGGTTTCAGGACATCTCCATCTTGCCCAGATAGTGTGTAATGTACAGCTAGGATTTCTGAAGTGGGACTGTATTAAAGGCAGAGGATCTCAATTATTTTTGATCTGTCCCCACTTAGGCAGGGCAAAACTGATTGATTTACCAACTCCATCTATCTTATTTTCCAGTGGAAAAATAAATTAGTGGCAATTTAGAAGGAGTAGATTATGTATACATTTGCTCTAGCATTGGGGTAGACCGATTCACAGTGGAACCACAATGTATACACAGGCCATAGAGGCTAGTTATTGGAAAATTACAGCCCTAGAATACCGTTGATGCAAATAAGCTTCAATATAGTTTGCAGGGTTAACCAAGTAACCCACAACAAAATAAACAGATAATGATAAAGTTAAGCTAACAGTAATTCATAATTAAAAAGTCCCAATGGCACAGTTGAAAATTGTAGCCATCTCAAAGCAACACTGCTGGTGTGCTCCTCCAGCAGACTTTGGAAATGCCAGTTCCCCCTGCGCATAGGAAATTGGAGACTTTGACTGTGACAAACAGCTGGACTTCCGAGCACAATTCTGTAGGGCACTCAGTAAAGTTGATAATGTATTCTTAGTCAATTATGGGTTGGTAGACCTAGGGATATGTAAAAATGAGACCTTAATCACACTGCACACACTGGGCTGGGCAGCATGTGTGCTTGACTGGAGCAAGGTCCTTGGTTCCAACCCCACCGCCAAAGGGAAAGACAAAAAATCACACAAAGCTGATCATAATGCTTTCAAAGAGACTTAAAATTCAGTTCCAGACAAGCAAGGATGCCTCCGGGTTCCAGGCCCCCAGCCTCCCAACCAGCACCCCTATACCCCACAGTAGAGGCGCTTCTCCCCGGGCACGTCTTGCCTTCCAGCGCTAGCAGGCTAGAGGTACACATTTGGGTTTACAGAGTGCTCGCATTCTGATTTAAAAATGTATATGAATCTTTAAAAATAATCAATATAAAGCAGTGTTGCCTTGAGATGGCTGAGGATCATGGTTGCTGGGGAAGCGGGGAATAACTGACGTGTTTCATTAGATACCCATTTATGTCTTTCGAGTTTTGCGCTATTTTTGTATTAACTATTAAAAACAATAGTGAATTTAAATTGAGAAGAGAAAACAGTATTAAAATCTTCAGAGACCTATTTCTTTTCTGCAGTGCCAGGGATCACACTCAGGGCCTTATTGATGGTGCAGGAAGACGAGCTCTACCCCGAGCTGTGCCTCCAGCTCGAGACTTGATTCTTTTTTTTTTCCCCAACTCCAGCACCATGGGAGACACTTGATTCCTACTTCAGTTTCTCCTCTCCCAGGTCAGGGGAGGAAGGTAAACTTTTCTGGTGCATCTTTCCCCTTCCACGACCATGGTTGTGTCTTCAGGAGGGAGATTCTAGAGTCTCCAGAAATGAGACGCCAGGGTTGTAAAGCCATAGCTACACCTCTGACCTATTCTGAAGCATTATTTTCTGACGTTAGAACTGTTATTTAAGAACTCTCCATGTGTTCCAATGTTTTCATTATGCAAATACATTTTTTAATAAAAGAAGTGCTCTTAATAAGGGTACCTGTACATCTGTACCTTAAACGTGAGGGAAAAAAAATGACCAAAAAGGAGACAAGATTTATACAGCAAAGCGTGTTTGACTGAATGTATTTCTCATATTTCATCCCACTTTGTATGGCTCAAGCAATTTTTTTAATCTTGATTTGCTACCAGACATTTAAAAGAGCAACAAGAAACATTATACTAATATTCGGTATTTACCAGAGATAAACATGACATCTAAGTAGAAAAGAATTACATTCTTGTACATAAATGGACACAAGATGGTACACTGTCTTTGTATCATAAATGTTCGTTATGCTGAGTAACAATTCTTTCTTAGAGCAAAAATACCCAAAGAAATATTGGAATTGAAATCTCTGGCTTTGGAGTTACTGCGGATAGCTGCTATGGATGGGGGGGATTGGTGAGACAGCTAAAAGGAATGTTTTGGACAAGTGGAGGCCTCACTTGGGTGGTGCAGAAATTCCTCAAAGCAGAGATGAGCTGAGTGAGAAGGCAGTCACACCATTCTGGAGGTGGCTGCGCAGGCTGTGCGTAATTGGTATATTTATAAAAATTCTGGAATGAAGATAGACTGTCAGCACCAACAATTATTTATCCCAAGGCCTTGGTCAATTTTAGGACTCAAGCATTAAGTACCATAAGCTGCACTTCTCTCATCTGAGGCTATTCCTCTACACGTTAAACGTCCGAATATTTCCCCCTGCTTCTTGTTCCCCTAGGTGCCGCCTCTCTACCCTCATTCAGCCCCTTCCCTCGTCCTACTGGACCAAGCAGCAGCCTGGTATAAGGAGGGTTCACATATTGGAGATTCGAGTAACCACAAGTCAATCTCAAGTCAGTCACCCACGCAGAGGAACTGCTCAGCTTTGGTCTAAATGACTTATGTTTTTCCTTGCCTGAATTAGCTGGTAATTTAGCCAGACTGATCTAGAGGAGTTCCTTTCTTTAAAGTTCAGGGGTCTCCACTGAAGAGCCCTACTTCCCAAGCGATGCTCATATGAGCCTGTGCCCAGCTCTCTGTGGTGCCCCAGTACACTGTACTTTGCCTAACGATAATGAATTGAGTACTTATTTTGCAGGAAAATATAGGGCATTTCCATTACATGCAATCAAGCAAAAAGGCTGTAGAATGTGCCACCACATTAATTCTAAAGAGAATCTTTCCCAAATGTCACTGTGAAACCAGAGTATGGGGTTATTACAAATCTGAAGGAATTAAGAGTAATTTTCATTTGTACAAAGGATTAGAGGGACATGACTCCTGCCACACACCCACTATTAATTGGGTTAAATTCAATTTGCCAATTTCAGTGTGAATCACCCAGCCCTGACCTGCCCTGCCCTCAGTGAGATCAGTGGCTCCGGTCTTCTATGAAGATGCAGGTGTGCGCAGGCGTGGAGCATGTGCTGTGTGTGACTGACCAGTTACTAACAAATAGGTTGTGCAAAGAGAACAAACAAATGCCAACTCCTGGCAAGCAGCTCAGCCTACGAAGCTCAGTTTCCTCATCTGTCGGAGGGGATTAGAATACCAACTTTCACAGAGCCGTGAGGGTTAAGGAAATTGACTCCAGCAGGGCACTTAGATGTGGTGGCTCACACAGTTTATGCCCATGAATGCTAACTATGGTCTTTATTATTCTCATCTTCTGGGGACTCACTTGGCCTGAACCTATTTCCAAGGCCCACGGAGGGAACCTGGGGCCCGGCACCTGCACAAGGACAGCTTTCGTGGGTCATTGCTGGGTTAGTTCCTGGGGCCTGGGAGGTAGGGTCAGCCCAGAGACTTATTGGTCGCTTCCTTTCTGATTTCCATTCCAATCCCCACTATCTCTGGGTTGCAAACACTGGGCTTGTGGGAGAGCACAGAGCAGGACAAGCAAGGACAGGCGACTTGGGGGCTGGTCCAGTCTGCCTGCAGCGGGAGCCCAGGCCCTCACTCCACATTCCGGTACTTGGTGAAGAGGTTGTACAGCACTCGCAACGTGGACTTCAGGTCACAGTTGACGATGTCTGCAGGGAAACAAACACATCAAGTGTCTCAGTGGGGCTACTTGCTTCAAAGTTCTCCCCACCCATCTGCCACTCATCCCTGTCTGCCCAGCATGGTCCTGGGCTGGCCCTGGGCACTGGGGCAGATGGGTGTGGAAGCACAGGCAGAGTCAGAGCATGGAGGAAGCGAGGGGCCAAAGTTTGGGGCACAGGGGAGTTGCCTATCGCTGCGATAAAGCAGATGCCCAGGCATGCAGGTAGCATCCTGGAAACAGCATGTCCAGATGAGGTGGCACTGCTGGCCCTCATGGTGGGAGAGCTCAGGAGGGCACAAGAACTCCTCATGCAGAGAAAGGGGACTCAGCAAGTGAGCATCACATTAAGAACAGCACGAGGTGGGTAGGTTAGAGATGGGTAGGTTAGCAGCACTACAGGGAAGCAGGAGCTGGAGTGTGAGTTCCACTAGGAGTTTTTCTGAGCTTTAGGGAATTCCTTCCTTCTTTCCTTCCTGGCAATACCTGAATGGTGATGATATAATGGCACAGGTGCTTCACAGTACACCAGCGGGCAGAGATGCACATGAAGGATCTGCTGTGTGCTTTGTTTGGATGATTATGAACAGATGAGCATGGCCAGAGAGGGAGGGTGTGGGGCTGTACCCTGAAAGCTCTGGATTCCAAATTGTAGGGCTTGGGTGATTTTTGTAGGCAAGAAGCTGGAAACTGGCAGCTGCCACTGATACATTTTGTATGCCCTCCCTTTATTCCACCTTTCCATCCATCCCCCCAGGGTCACCACCTGCTCTGGCTCCCCTAACCTTCTGTTAGTGGCAATGCCTTCCTCCTGCCCCCACAAGGTGCCGTCTCTGCTCGCATCCCTCCTCATTCCCTCAGAGAGCCATCCTTTGGAGAACTAGAGTAAACACGCTAATAAAAGCAACTCTGTCCACCACAGTTAGGAATGCATATTTAGGTAGCCAAACTATAGCAAAACACAAAAAGGAAACAGTGGCGACCTTTAGAGAAGGGGAGAGGATTGTGTAAAAAAGGGCGCAGGGTGACTTGGAGGGAGCTGGCACTTCTCTTGTCCTTGACCTAGGTGGTGGTTGCCTGCTATTTCACTAGCCTGTGTAATCATGTTTATGCCTTTCTCTATGTATATTGCATTTTTCACAACAGAAATGATTTTTACAAGCACAACTGTGCTGGAGATCAGATGAGGGTATGACAAAGTAACACACAGTCTGGGATTGGGAAGGAGCAGTCACACTGAGCCACCAGGAAGGAGGGGACTGGAGACTCTGGCAGGCCCTGGTCCACAGGAGCAAGGTTCCTGCAAGACCAGACAGAGGGGCAGGCTGGTGGCCACCATGGCCACATGTAGCGAGGACTGGGCACCAGCTCTGCAAAGCCGAACTGGCTGGATCACAAGCTGAGAGCCAGGGCTCTGAGCCGGAAGCCCGGCCTCATGGCCACCTCCCTTGCGGATGGACTGCAGACCCCAGGCTCCCAGCTTCCCTTTCTGCTGCCCCTGTAGTCCATCCGCCATGGCAGCCCCAGTGTGGGCCCTGGCCATGCTGAGCCTTGCTCGCTAGCCCTGCGTGTGCCGAGCCAGGAGGCCCAGCCTGTGTCCTCTAGGCTGGTGCCTGTCTTTCCCTGACTGCTTGGTGTTGAACTTTTCTTATATTTTATGCAAGTCAAAGATGAGGAGGTCCTCTAGGGAGCAACTGCTAGAAAAGCAGAAGGGACAACAGGGAGCTCCCCATGGGTGTGAATGTGAAGGGGAAGACAGAGAGGCACTGGCGACATGGTGGCAGGATCCCAACTGGGATCTTCATGCCCTCTCCACTTCCTTACCTACTGCAGCCAAACCACTGGCCCGTGGGCATGCAGGATGCAAACTGTGTCATTCTAGGAGGACACTGCTGTGGACCGTACCATGAATAGTGTCACTGGGCCTGTGCAGCTCTCAACCACTCCACGTAAGGTCCAGAAACCTCAACCATGGCTTGCGCACTTAGTTGAAGATTTCAGGTCTTTCTCATTAACAGATCTTTGCATACAGCTGTGCAGCATGTGCACTGAACAATTCCAGAGGTCACCATTGCCAGAGACTAAGCCCTAAGTCCACTGTTCCGTGCCATGACCACCATTCCTGGTCACAGATACTGTGACCATCATCAGTTCGTATCAGGAAAGCCAATGGCTGGCCACCCAAGTAGTTCCAGGTGGACAAGGAGACCACAGGAGCCTGAGCTCTCTTGGCAGAGGAACTTGGGTTCCTGGGAATGTACTGTGACACCACACTGCACAGAGCCTGCTCAAAGCTCTGCTTAAAGCCCTGGCCTAATAAATTGTGCAGTTAGCAGCTAGGGCAGCTGACTGCCCACATGTTGCCTGGGGCTGCTCTCTGGAAAGTCAGGACTTGTGGGCCCTGGTCAGAGCCAATCAGTGTCTGGCAGGCTGGAGCCAAGGACAGACAACTTGGACCCAAGGTGATGCTAGGGGAAAATAGACTCTGGCCCAGGAGAGAAGATTCACTGTTCCTTGTGCCACTGACTAGGTCTCTCTACGTCTCTTCCTCCCCTTCCCCCCCTTTCTCTCCCTCCTCTCCTCTTCAATTCTCTCTTCTTTTTTGTCTTCTCTCCCTCTCCTCTCCTCCCCCTCCTTTCTCTCCTCTTTCCCTCCTCCCTCCTCTCCTTTTTCTCCTCTCCTCTCTCTCTTTCATGTGGTACTAGGAATTGAGCCAAGGCCTTTGCACTGAGCTACATACCCAGTCCTTCAAAAATGGCTTAAAATTTTGAGACAGGCTTTTGCTAAGGCACTAAGTTGCCCCAGCTAAGTTTGAACTTGCAATTCGCCTGTCACAGCCTCCCACAGTGCTGAATTTACAGGTGTGTGTCACCATGCCCAGGTCCATCTGAGGACGGTCCCAAGTTTTGGATATCATATTTTTGTCTTTTAAAAAATATTTAAATTTTTATTGATATAATTATATATATATATGTATTTATGAGTTACAATGTGATATTTCCGTTTGCTAGTATATGGTAATGATCAAATCAGGGAAGTAGCATATCTATTGCCTTAAATAGTTACCATTTCTTAGTGGTGAGAGTATTTAAAATCCTCTCTTGTAGTTACTTTTACTTTTTTTTTACTTTTTTCTGGTACCAGGGATCGAACTCACGACCACCTGCTTGCAAGGCAGGTGCTTATGCTGCGGAGCTAAATCCCCAGCCTCCTCTTGTAGTTACTTTGATTTATATAATAAAATATTGTTAACTGTACCTACCCTGCTGTAGCTATTTTGAGATACACAATATATTATTGTAAACCACATTCACCTGCTGGGGAACAGAGCATCAGAACGTGTTCCTCCTCTCCAACTCTAACTTCTGTACCTGATGACCAGCCTCCCCCCATCCCTCCTCTCTCTAGTCTCTGGTAACCTCTATTCTGTTCTCAGTTTCTGTAAGATCAACATTTTAGATTCTACACGATTCTACCTTTCTGTGCGTGGCTTGTTTCACTTAGCATAATGTCCTCCAAGCCAGTCCACACTGTCACAAGCTCAGGGTTTTATCCTTTAATGGTCTGTATATGCCACATTTTCTCTGCCCATTCATTGGTTGCTGGGCGTGCCCTGGTTTCCATTTCTCAGCCATTGGGAATAGTGCTACACTGATTGCGGGAGGGCAGGTATCTCTTTGACATACTGATTTCATTTCTTGGATGGATACCCAGTAGTGGGATTAATGGATCATATGGTAGCTCTATTTTTAATTTTTTGAGGAACCTCCGTACTGTTTTCTCTAATGGCTGTAACAATTTATATTCCTGTCAACAATGTATAAGAGTCCTATCTTGGAATTTTCTTGGAAATTTTTGGAATTTTCTCCTGGACTATTAGATCTGACATAGTCCCCAAAGCCTCATGCATTTGGAAGGTGAGCTTTTAGGTGGTAGAAGCTGGTCAGAAAAGGCAGGTCACTGCAGGCAGGACCCGGGAGGGCTCATCTCTCTCCCTGCCCTCCCTTGACTCTCTGCTTCCTCATCTCATGATTGAACCACTCTTCCTCTGCCATGCTGCTTCTGCCTGGAACCAGCCAATAGCAAAAGGCCTGAAATTTCTAACATCTGAGCCAAAGTAAACCTCTCCTGCTTTGGGTTGTGGGTGTCCAGTGGTTCAGTCCAGCAATGAGGAAGTGACGGAGACACATGAACAAGCACAGCTGTGAGGAGAACGATGGGCCCCTGTACTGATTTCCTATTACTGCTGTAGCAAACGACTGTAAATTTGGTGGCCTAAAACAACACAAATTCACTGTCTCACGGTTCTGGAGGTCGAAAGTCCAAACTTGGTCTCTGTGGGCTGCAATCCAAGGTGTAGGCACGGCTGCATTCCACCTGGAGAATCCTGCATTCCTACTGGAGAATCCTTTGAACTTGCTTTTCCCAGTTCCGAGGGCCCTCTGCATTCTTTGGCTTATTGCCCTGTGCTAGCCTGCCACGGCCGGGTGAGTCTCATCCGTGACATCACTCTGACTCTCTCGCCGTCCTCTTGCACTTAGAAGGAGTTGTGATTAAGCTACCTGGATAATCTAGGATAATATCCTTATCTCAAGATCATAAATTTAATATCTGTGAAGTTCTTTTTGCCGTGCAAGATAGCATATGATCAGATTCCAAGAATTAGTATATATTTTAGGGAGACACTAGTCTGTCTGGAGATACTACTTGTCTGGTACCCTACATGGGGTATTAGAAATTTTCAACTGCGTTTCTGGGAAGATAATATGTAACCTATTAACTGGTGATTTCATATTGTTTATATTTTTTTCTTGAAATACTGTATTATTTGTACCCTTTTACTGCATTGTTTTTTAATGTCCTTTCTTTTTTTTCCTCTCTCTTTAAATTAAACAAAAAGAAAAGAAATTTTCAACTATGTTAAATAAGGACAGTTTTCCGAAATAAGCATATGAATTCACATTCACACCAGCAGTTACTATTGCTCCACATCTTTCCTAACACTTGGTCGGGTCAAGCTGACATTTTTGCCGGTGCTAGCTTCTGTATTCTCATCTCCTAGGGAAATGTGGAAGGGGAGCTGACAGTTTCCTATTATCGGCCACAGACTAAGTCCCCAGGTGAACTCATCACTGGGTCTATGCTGCTAACACCTGCCTGGCTTTTCAGCATTGCCTGCCCTGGTCTGATTCCAACTGTTACACTCCTCACATTTTAGATATCCTACTGGGATGCTGCTTATCCTGTGGACTTCAGTCCCTCTTGGTACAAGAGTTCTGAGTCCCACCAGCCTGGCCTGGGCTCTTAGCCATGTCTGATGGAGTCCACTTGAATGGAGCTAATGGGAGAGGCACATGCATTTGAAAACCTGTGCCACCCTAAATAAAAAGCTACTGGCTTCATGCCGGTATTTCAGCTGCCGCATTGGCTATCACCTTGATGCGGTTACCCTTGCTTACATTAGTTAGAATACTAAAAGGTCATGAAGCCAGGGCAGCAGAAGTCATCTGAGCTGTAGATGCAAAGTTTCTAGGGGATTTCAAGCTCTAAGAGAGCTTTGAAGTCAAAGAACACAGGCAAGAATGCATTGTCCTGATCTTAAAAGCATTTTGCCACAAAAATGCCCCCACCACAGGCAATCTGATGCAGAGACACCCTCAGAGGATGAGCCAGGTTAGCACCTTGTATGACGTTCAGCATTTACTGGGGACTTTTGGCTGTCTAGGTGGAAGTCCAGATGCAGAGGGATGCTGGGACTCACTTTTCACCAGATCTGATTTCAAGACTCCCAGTTTCAATTCTCCTTTACGCACTGGAAATTTTCAGCATGGGCACCATGCCCAGTGTAACAACAAACAAAGCAGATGTGTTTTTCCATTCACTTTGCTCGGGAAGTTTCATATGAAGCAGTTCAGTCATTGCACAAGAAATCTCATCTAGATGCTGAAATAGTCTCGTAGATTGACTGACACTGGGGAAAGCACCTGTCCTCAGGGAAACCAGTACCTGACCATCAAACTGTCAGAGTGCGCATTTCCCATGAAGCAGCTGAAGAACAGAGCAGCCACAGGGACAAAAAGAACTCACCCTCTGTATCCTTCAGGAAGCAAGGTGCTCGTCCTCTCCCCACAGGAAGCCACGAGTCCCTTCTTAATAGCATTAAGACGGCACAGTGGCCTTGCTGGAGAGCCACAAATCATACTAGGGGTCCTCCCCTAAAAGTGACCAGGGGTCCAGGCCATAGTGGGGATGAATGAGAATGAGGAGTTGACCTTTGTTGGCTGGAGCTGACATTGAGTCTCCAGGCAGGACTCAGGCTCACTCCATCCCAATGCCCACCCAACTTCTTCCTCATCCTCACACTTCACCCCAAATGTCACCACTGTCATCGAACTGTTCCGCACTGTCCTCAGGCAGAAGCAGCCCCAGCTCCTCAATCCTCACAGCAGCCTCTTCTGTGGCTGCTGTCACAACAGTCACTCTGTGTGGGTCACTGGCACATCTTTTCTCCTCCCTGCTTGAGCCCTGAGGCCTCTGTGTGTCATGATATGCCAGGTCCCAGGCCTGCTAGACCAGAGCCCAGCCTGTCTGGAGGTCAGGGTGGAGAGCCTGGAGAAGTGGGGTGTTATGGTGTACCTCTACTTGTCCCCTTTAAATGACCAGCAAAGTGCCAGCTCAAGGGCCAGTGGCCAGCCTGCCAGTGCTCTAACTTGACATAAACACACAGGATCTGTGACACAATCCTGACTCACCAGCACTGGTGAAAGGAAATATTGCAGGTGGTGAAAAGAAAGGTCTGTGTTAAGAAGGTTACTGAGTGAGACGCACCTCCTCCTCCCGAAGGCACACACACACCCAGGGTGAGCATGTGAACATCTCCCCCAGTCTCATACAGTCTGCCCTCTGTGGTTCACAGATTCAACCAACTGCAGCTTATAAATATTCAAAAGCAAAAATTACATCTGTATAAACACATAGGGCTTTTTTTGGTCATTGTACCCTAAATGATAACAGTGTAACAACTGTCCACGTAGCACTCACATTGTATTAGAAGTCACCTACAGATGATGTAGAGTCTGCTGAGAATATGCACAGGTTACATGCAAAACCTCCACTGCTCTACACTAGGAATCCAAACATCTGTAGATTTTTATATCTTTGGGGATTCTTACAATGGATCCTTCATGGATAGTGAGGTACTATTCGCAACCCAAACCCCCAAAATCAGGTTTCAACCTCAGGCAGACTTGGAGCTGGCCAAGTTGCCCAGCTGTCTTAGAGGCTGAGTGCAGGGCTGCCTGACAGTCCCGAAGCCACCTGGGTGGATAACTTGGCACCCAAGAGAGAAGGCTCCAGGAAAGAAACTCTTCCTTCGGCTACAGAACCGCACCCTTTCCCTGAAGCCCAAACAATTGCTTGCAGGAAGAAGGCCTCACCCTGTTGTCCTCAGCCCAGGAAAGAGCAAAGTACCTTCTGGCCGTGGTTTTGGCTTTTCCAGTCCTCCATCTTGCATGAGCTCAAAAGCAAAGGAGACGTTCAAGACCTGGCAAGGGAGAGGTAGTACATGGGTCATTTGTTACACCTAGACTCCCAGAGGTGCTGCACTGGGAGGAGAAGGAGCCTAGCACTGGAGCCAGAGGCGGGGGCTGGATTAAAAAAAGGAGAACATGGATACAAAAATGGAAGGCCACCCTGGGGCAGGCTTGCCCGTTCTGGCCTACTACCAGAGGAGCATTCTTTCTGTCTTGCCACGCTCCCGTATCAATGGCTGGGACTTCAAACTTGGAGACGACAGAGAAGCATTGAGGAACGTGAGATGGTGACACATGTTCAAGAGGCAGATCTCTGCTTCGGACTAGCTGCTTCCTATCATGCGAGCAGGACAGTGTGGCTGACAGGAGGCCATTAGAAAGAGGCTGGGCATGGGCCTGGGTTCTGACTGGCCTCGTGGCCACTGTGCCTGTCACCTCTGTGGGAAGAGGTAAGGCTGGCTGGGTACTCAGGAGGAGCACAGGGACGAGGGGACCAGAGCAGCTTCTGGAGAGGGGGTGAGAAGGGCTGCTCATGGGAATGAGCCCTGCCTCAGCACTGGAGAGCTGGCCGAGGGATGGCACCCACCTTTTCCTTGACAGCTCAGCATGAGGAACCCCAGGTTACAATGCGGGCTGGGCTCCCCTTGGTGCTTTCCATTCCGCTTACCTTCTGTTCAAAGCTGTCTGGAGTCAGGAAGAAGCTGTGTAGGGGCACAAAGTAGCCCTCCAGGAGCCCCATGAGCAGCACTAGGTACACGCCATCTGCAAACTGTGGGGACAGCCAGGTGACGGCACTGGCCCTCAGTCTCCCAGCCAAGCTCCATCCAGGACTCACCAGCCACCACGTTACCACCCCAAAGGCCCTCTTTCCCCGGCAATCTGCCCTGAGGCAGGGAGGTCTGCTAACAGGAGCTACAAGTGCATGGCCCTGGGCTCCGTGATATTCATGATCCGGGTATGGAGACCAGAGTCGGGTCAAGGGTGATTCCTGTTGTAAGGAGCTCCGTCAGGGTGGTGGGGGAACTGCTGTACAGGCAATGCGGCCTCAGCTCTGAGATGAAAAGGGTCACCCTGGCCTACTGAAAGCGTCAGACAGGTTCCTGGAGGAAAGGGATCCTGTCCACACAGGAAGGACGAGGAGGGGTGGTGGAGTCGGCTAGGGTGGGTACAGGAAGGAAAGGGGATGGTCAAGGTGAATGGCCCAAAGCTAGTGGGGCCACTTCTGGTTTCAGAAGAGAACACTGATGTCCTATAAGGCACTCTCTTTTCCTGTCTCACTTCCTCATCGCTTGAGACACAAATGTGGTGGGGTTTGGGAGCTGGGCCTCTCAGGTCCCAGTTCCAGCCTCATTATTTGCTAACTCAGAAATTTGTAATTCTCTGCACCTCTTTTTTCTTATCTGTAACACTGGCACAATGCAGTAGGGTATCTATCCTGTCAGGAGGACTAAAGTGGTTAACACATGCAAAGTGCCTGCCAAACGCTCTGCATGGGGGCAGCACTTAATAAATATTAACTCTTGCTATGACTGTCGGGGAAAACAACAGAGCAATTAGGACTCAACCTCTGAGCTTTTGCAGGCCAGACAGCACCGTGGTGGTATGAGAGCCCAGTCCCTTCCTGGACATTGGAGCCACTGATGAGGCCAGAATGAGGCTGTGGGGGCTAGCGTGAGCATGCTTTGGAAACAGGCAGTGCTCCAGCTGTGGAGGACACCAGAGAGGCCAGAGGTCAATGCACATCTGAAGTTCTAGACCCTTTTAGAGGAAGCTGGGCCACCACTGTGGTCGCTAGCACTCATTGCTGGAGTTCACAAGAGGCCAAATGTCCTGGCCTCAGCTTGGGAAGATTAAAGGACCTAGACAGAAGTACTGGCATGGGGTTGGGCCCAGTGTGTGCTTGCTGAGCTCTTGTGGGGGTAACAGGCTGGGGGCTGTGGCTAATGCCATGACCTGGGCCAGTGCCTCCCTGCCTCCCTGGGGCCCTTGGGTGGGTAGGGCCTGCGCATGACTCATCTCACACCACCCAGGGTGGACACAGGAGAGCAGAACTCAGACTCTGTTGAAATCAACGCCCTCCTGCTAGGCAACTGGCTGTGGCCAGAACAGACTGAGAACAAAGGAATCCGATCTGTGAGCCCAGGAGGGACTTTGGGTCAAGGGCAGGTGACTCAGCACCCCAAGGCCAGCCAGACTGTTCCCCACCTGCTGTGGCTAGTTCCAGGGGGTGGGAAGAGCAGGCGACACCACTGGAGCGCCAGGGAGCAACTCCCCTTGAACACCAAGGGGAAACATCAGAGCCCATTTGAACCCTGCCCAGCAAACCCCTTTCCAGAATGTTCCTTACTTTCCAAAAGAGTGTATGAAGCTCAGTCCAGACACACATGGGGACAACTCAGGGAGAGATCCTGTGACTGCCTTTACAAAAGATGAGTGGCACCCAGGTACTTGGAAGAAAACAGAAATTCGGCCAGAACAAGAGGACATGGGAGTCGGGGTACAGTGTCGGAGTAGTTACCACGGCTGGGGATGTAGCTCAGTGGTAGAGCACTTGCTGAGCATGTGCGAAGACCTGGGTTCAATCCCAGGAACACATAAATACAGATACAGATGGAAAAGGGGTTCTGTAGTAGGCGCTAGCAGGAAATGGAGTGGGTGTCACCTTCATGAGGCCACCTTCAGGAATGGGGCTGGCGGGGACAAATGCCATCATACAGTGTCACCTGGGGAGGGCTGTTACTGAAATCTCATCATGAGGACAGAAACCAAGGGATGTTCTATAAACCAAATGGGCCAGAATCCTGCCAGAAAGGCCGAGCTGTTCTAGATTAAAGAGGCCAAGGAGATGTGGCAACCAAAGGCAGGGCAGGAGCAGGACGGGGCAGCTGGCACAACAGAAAGACAGCGTTTTCCCCAACCACATAATGCTGCCGATTCAGCTGGGCAGAAACAGCCACACAGCTAGGCACGGTGGCACATGCCTGTAAGCTCAGCTTCTTCCCAGGAGGCAGAGGCAGGAGACTCAGGAGTTCAATGTCGCAATGTATTAAAAATTCATACAATTCAACAAACAGGTTGCATCGATGTCGGCTGCCTCCACTGGGTAATCAAGCTGTGATCGTCTAAGAGATTATATTTATTTTTAAGAGACGTATTTGAAACATTTAGGGATGAAGGGTGAGGCGGGGTATGGCCAAACGCTGACTTGAAGAATATGCAGGTGTCCCTGTAACTTTTCCATACAAACAGCTGGGGAAGATCCAGAGAGAGATTCCAGCCAGTTCAGCCCTGCGAGCTTCTAGGCTGGAGCCCAAAACCGGCACCCTCAGTATGGATAGCTGGATTTGGGCTGTACATGCCCTCCTTGCCCTCAGGGTCAGTATGCAGCCACCCACCTGGGTTTCCAGTTCCGTGACCTCCAGGTTCAGTTTATTCAGGTGCTTGTTCACGAATGTGATGAGCGTCTGAAAGAAGCACAGGGTGCTGAGAAGACTGCAGGGAGTGCCACGCAAGAGGTGGCCCTGGGAGCTTGTGAGGACCAGCAGCAAAGACCTGGGGCTCGTGGGGAGGTGTGGGCTTCTGCCTTGGTGTCCCATGTGGTGCAGGGGAAAGAGGGACAGGGAAGAGCCAAGAGGCAGGGTGAGAGGTGAAAAGTCTGAGCCCAGGGTTGGGGGCCAAAGAAGATCAATGATCGGCTAGGTCCCTCCTCCCAGTGCCTTCTTTGGGGGTGCAGCTGCCTGTGCCCAGGAATGGGGCAGTGCTGTGGGAGGAGCAGGGCAAGCTGGGGTCAGGCTGATGGGTGGCGAGGTGAGCATTGATGGGTGAGGAAGCAGACTGGATGACGTGCTGCTGAGAGTGGACAGGTGAGTGGACACGGGAGACCCCATGTCTGCAGGGGTTGTCCTAATGTCCTGCTGCACCCCACCACCCTCACTCCCTTGAGGTACCTCCCCCTACCTTTTTCACCACATTGAGTTTGTCTGGTGCATGGTCAAACAAGGTGTCGAAGGCGTCACGTTCTGAAAGAGGGGAGCATCGTAACATGGAGTGTGCAGGTTGGGCTTACGGTGCAAACACCCGGCACTTCCAGACCATGAGCCTTTAAAACCACATGCGCAGCTACTGTGGGGAATGCTTTGGGGAACACTGGGTGCTGGGAACTTTGGACGCTGGGACTGGGCTGAGCTGGGCTGGGGTTCTTCCCAATGTGAAGTTTTTGTGTGTCAGCCTTCACTGGGCTGAGAAGGGGCATCTATCGGGGGTGTGACCCAGGATAGGTTCTGTGTCCTCACTGTGGCTATTCTACTATATCACGATGCAGTCATAGTTCTTTTTTATTTTTTATCGGTACCAAGGATCAAACTCACAACCACCTGCTTGCAAGGCAGGTGCTTATGCCGCTGAGCTAAATCCCCAGCCCTACAGTCATAGTTCTAAAGTGCTCTTGACACTCTTTGGAGGCAGACGGTTACTTGAATATCCAAGCACATCACCCCCTAATTTTCTAAAACAGGAGAGCAAAGACAGCCTATTGGAAGGCAGAGATATGAGGGCAGGAACTCAATGAGCTCCACGAAAGAACATGAGTGCCTTCTCCTAGAGAAGGTACTCATATCAACTCTTTGTGCCTCAGTTTCCTCTTTAAGCATCATCTGAAAAGTGCATTTCCCCCAGGGTTGTCATAAGACACGTGCTCAGGCTCTACAAACTCTGACATGCTCTACCAATGTGCACTGTTTGTAGCATGATTAAACTATTTCAAAATGTTACCTGTAGTGAACATCAGGCTACTAGGACAGCTAGGTCACTCTTCCTGCTGGGATGCTTAGAATATACATAACTGCCATGGTCTCAGAATCATGGGGTAAGGAGTGGAGGGGACCTGAGGCGGGGTCAGGGAGGTCTCCAGCCTGAGGGCACAGATGCTGGAATGAGCCTTTCTCTTCACTGCAGGTATCAGGATAGAGTCATGGTTCTAAAGTGTCTCTGAAGCTTTTTGGGGGTAAAGGGTTATCTGAAAATCCAATCGCTTCACTCTCTGATTTTTAAAAATAGGAAAGCCAAGACATACATGCCGATGGGCAAAGGGGACTACTAGAAAGGTGACCTCTGACATTCATGGACCTAGAAAGTCCAAAATCCTAGGGAAGGGGAGAGGTGGGAGTGGTGATGAGGGGGACCAGGGAGAGGGGACAGTGCCTGTATTTCTACAACACACACAGGGCAAACTGGCCCTTCAAGCACCAGGACAGTGCAGATGTAGCAAGCCCCTATTTCCCAGCAGGCAACTGTCCCCTATGACCCAGCCAGCGGTGTCACCAGGCTGGCACCGTCACACAACCAGGCAGCACGCTGAGCGCCTGCTCTCCCCAGCTGCTGCAGAATTACCCAGCACCCACCACAGTGCAGTGACAGGTGACAGACTCCTGCAACTCACCATGCCTTCCGGAAAGTGCCCTGGAAGAAAAGACAGAGAGAGCAATGTGACTGTCTGTGAGAGGACCCTCTGTCCTGGCCAGGGGCCTCTTCCTCCCTGCCTGCCACCAGCCCGTCCTCGGTGGAGGAGCTCAAAAGCCTTCTTTCGCTGACATTTTAGCATGCATTCTCCAGTTACTGTGACTTCACTGCATTGCCCCCTCTTTCTCCTCTGCCACACAGATACGCTGGGCTTAACCCAGACTCTGGCATAGAGATGCTTAATGATTTTTTTCTTTTTTGGTATTAAACACATTATTGCTTGCATTTAAAAAGAATATCGGACATGGCTAAGGAGTCCAAACCAGAGAATTAGAATTCTTTGGAGCACAGCTCAAGCAACCCCACCTGCGTGGAGCTCTTCTGCCCAGGTTGCTATTAGCAACTGCCTGAGGAGATCAGCTTTGTATCTGTCCAGCCAGGCTGCACCTGCCAGATGCTGGATAGGTTTCTTCCAAGGGGGCAGGAACCACCCTTGTACTCGAGAAGGGGTAAAATCTTAGTAGCACAAACATAGAAAATGGATCCCTTAGTTACTTGGTTTTAAGTTCCGCTGAATTTCTTGTTTAATCAGCTTTCTTTGTATGACCTAGGCCTGGACAAGCTATTGAACCTTCCCGGACTCCAGGTAGCTCAGTCTCTAAAGTAAGGATCATGCCTCTGGATGCCTCAGTTGGATCCTGTGAGCACTGAAGGCCTAAAAAGGTTTTAGCAGTGAATAGTCAAAACATGTCTGTTTTTTCTCCTCAGTATCTTTTTGGTTCTCACAATTCTTACAATATTGGTTTAGCCATCTGTACACCCATCACCTGCTAAATGATAACTAGCAGATAGAGCCCTGGGAAGAATCATGACCTTAGAGTTAACTGTTAGACCAAAGATATTATAATCTTTATTCAGTCCTGGGCGATGCAGCTTTGAGGCTGTAACCACTGCTTCATGTGTTTAAAACAAAATCAGCAGATACAAAAGCCCTTGAAACTCATGCTCTGTTGCCACCCGTTTTAATTCCTTGTGGCAAAGGTGGCAGGGAGTGGGGGTGTAGAACACATGATATGTGGCCAAGAAGAGATGGTTCTGGAATTGGAAGCCTTACACCCCTAGATTCAGGAGGCTCCCCAGCCATGCTCCTCTCTGGTCTGTCTTCCTCTTGTTACAAGATCAATGACTGGCCCCCAACAAGCATGACGTGGGGTCGGGAGTGATGCGACATGACACTGAGGAATTCTCTGAGGAATTCTGTTCAGTTCCAGCAAGCCTGCCTCGGGGCAGCTTTGCTCCCAGCCAGGGCTAAGATTTGGTGTGCCCTGTGGATCACGTGACCCTGCAGCCACCAAGACTGGCCCTGTGAGCAGGCTGTTTGACGGTATCTCATAGCCATAAACTGGGGGTCTTGGAAGGACCACTCACATCACTGTCCCCTATACTTGGTCTGAAATGCTCAACTCCTGGGATCTTTCAAAGACACATCCATGCCTGGAGGTGGGAGGGAGCTTTCTAATGACAGGTAAGGCTCGAAGGAGTGGATCAGCTGTGATGGGAAAAGCTGGAAGTGCAGCCATAAAAGACAGGGACAGGATAGTGAGCTGACACCATAATGAATCCTCCCCCCTTCTCTGGTTAGGAAGTGCCCTCCGCTCCAGGAAAAGCACACTGAGGCCCACAGCCTAGGAGCTCAAGCGGGCTAGCTTACAAGAAGGTCCTTGTTCTTTCCACTGTGCTGGCTCTTATTCAAGAGGGACAAAGGAGAAAGCAGGGTGGACCTGGGAGACTGGAAAGTCACTTTGCCTGGTTTTGTGTGGGTCCTGGGCTCAGGGCCTGTCCAACAATCTCAAATCCACACACCAACCTGCTCTCTCTGCCTAAGAACAAAGTAAGCCCTTTATATGTCCTGATACTCTAATTTCTAGAGGTAATGGGAAAAGAAAACACCTCAAACCAACAAAAACCAAAAGACAGCTCTCAGGTAGAGAAGGGCTTTCTGGGTCATGGCACGTGATCAAATAAATCAGATTCAGAAAAGGAAGAAAGAGTCCTTTTGAAGGTTAACAATTTAAATTCCAGCCCATGTTTACGGCATGACGATTTCATGCTGGTTGGCTTTTTTGGGCATGCTTTTTTCCTGGAGTGCCACAAAATTAGAATTTTTCAATCATGGTTAATTCTCCTCTCCCCACTTCCCCACCCAAGTTTGTACCTTAAGCATTGAGAGGCATGTTTTGAATGCATGGAAAAGGCTAAACTCTAATCATTGGCTGCAGTCTAATCCCTCCTGCAATCCCAATAAATGAAAACTAAATATCAGCAAATGGATGAATTTCAGAGAAACATCTGTGTTCCATTACAGACTCGTTGGCAACAATAGTGTTGACATACTCTGTGTTACCAGTTATTTCCTCTTGGATTTGCCGAGACTGGAGGATTCCTTCTCGTTTCTGAAATGGGGGTGGGGAGAAGGGTTGGGAGGAAAAAAAAAAAAACGTTTTAGAAAAATACAGAAAAACTGATTAGCATTCTTGACATTGAGAAAGTTACTAGAGTATACTTAAGAAATATACCCAGCGAGAAGCCAAAAATCAGCCCTGAGTTTTGGGGGCCTGGATTGTACCATTAGAACTTAAGTGCAATTAGTGTGTAGTCCAAAGAAGTAGGCCGTTTCTTGGACAGTGAGTCTCTCCTGGCTTTGTTGGAAGACACTGTGCTGGAAGCAACTGCTTGCCTCCTGGAGTAATCCAGTCAACCGAATGGAAACGAAGGCCAGCGTGCGTCTGTCCTCCAGCTGGGGCTGCACAGGGAGGCTGAGAAACACTTTTAACTGGGGGGTAGCATGGGGGAACTGAGGCCAGCTTGGAGAACTCAGACACAGGCAAAGAGATTTGATTTTATTTTTTTCCTTTTTCTTTAGTTTTCAACTGATAAATACAGGAGCTTTTACGTAAATAGTACAATCCTCACTTAGGTACCTGCCCAGCCAGCTGTCTTTCCATCTCCCGCCCGTTCATCCTTCCTTCTCTGTCTCATTCATCAGCACCTTCTAAGTACAAGGCCCTGAGCTGAACTGGAGCAAATACTGGGGAGCATAAGACATGATTTCAGGCAGAGGTGACGTCAGCTTGGGAGAATGGTTTCCCCTAAACTGTGCTGGTTTGTGCCTGATGTTCTGGCCTCACCATTAATAGAATCTTCCTCTCTCCCTAGTGTTGTAGATAATAATGATGTGGTCACTCTCTGCAGAGAGGACGTGCTGGACACAGGACAGGCGTGCACTTGGAAGGGTCAGGAGACCTTCCAAGGGCATGGGGTGCTGGAGTGGGAATTTTGAGGCAAGCTAGGAAGTGACCCTGGCCAAAAGGCAGGGTCAGGACAGCACAACTGTGTGGTGAGGCCATATGGAGGGAGGTCCATGGGGAGTCCCGAGCGCCACGTGGGAGGGCTGTGCCCTTATCATGTTGGCATGGGGCACAACAATGGAGCACTGGGGTCTGGAAACCTTTCTGATGGCTGCCAGAGAGGAGGCCCACTCCACCAGGTCCCCACAGAGCCAGCCCCAGGCACTTACAGGGCAGTCTGGGCTTGGCATTCAGATGAGTGAGAGGGTGAACTCATCTTCCCAAGGCTGAGATCAGTGTGACCAAGGGGGCCTCTGTGTGAAGCTCAGCTGAAACGCTGAAGCCTTGAGAAGCTTTCGGAAGCCTGCTGCCCAAATGTCCAGCAATGGCTCCTCACATCCCCGATAGCCAGAGACGTGAGCATCCCTGCCACACACATCCAGAAGGAAAGGCAGAGCAGGTGAGGCCAAGTATATTCCATACTTGGAATATATGAGGAGCATATTACCAAGCAAAAAAAGAAACAGAAGGAGAAAGACATTTAAAGGGCACCAGGTGAAGACAAACCAGGACTTGGTCTACATTTAGTTTTAAAATATTTCAAATTTTATATATGGGGTTGATGGAATCCTTGTCTCATGAGGCCATTCACACACATAAAACTTCAAGTCCGTGCAGAATTAAATCCTTGTGTATGGAATGGAAAAGAAATTTGGGTTCAACAGTCCTGCAAAAGGCATCCTGACTCCCCAGATCATTGTTTGTGCCTCGAGAGTTCTTTACATAGCTCCCTGGTGACCTCCTGCCAGTTTGGGGTGTTGCTTCTGTACCTGCTCGTCTGAGAAAGCAAAACACTTAACGCACAGTGACGCCACTTTACATAGTGTATCTTTACCTCCTTTCCCGTCCTCATGCTAACAGAACTGCCTGCAGTATAGAGAAATTAAGCCAACAACAGCCTTCTGGTGGCCTGAAACTGAACCCTAAATAAGACACAGTATAGGTGCTTGCAGTGACCACTGCTTCAAAATAGCCCCCCACCTTTCCGCTCAAATCTTTAATCCCTTTTAAAATTTTTGTCTGTAGAATTCCAACAGGCATATTCTAGGATGTCTATTAGACAGCTGTTTGTTTAAGATGGTAAGAAAAAACCAAGATATTTAATAAATTAATGAATAAAGAATCAAAACGGACTATCAGAAAAGAGATGCTAGGGGCTGGGTATTTAGCTTAGCAGCACAAGCACCTGCCTGGCAAGTGTGAGGTTGTGAGTTTGATACCCAGTAGCAAAAGAAACAAAGAGACAGAGAAGCTATAAAAAGTTACTTTGCATAAAAGCATTTTTTCCATGGGCAATGGGAAGGCTATGCTTGTGTGTTTACTCATGGAAACAATTTAAAACATTTTTCAATGCTAGTGACAATTAAAAGTATTCTTCATGAGCTGCTCCAGGAATTTTTTTTAACAGACTACTTTTTAAGAGCAGTTCCTGGCCCACAGTACACCTTTCACTAAGGAAACCGCACTGACACGTCACTGTCACTCAAGGAAGCCTGTGCTTTATGGTGGGGCTCGCCCGCGGTGGCACACAGTCTGTGGCTTTGGACAGAGCTACCTGCCACCATAGTCCTGTAGACAACAGTTCCCCTGCCCAGGAAATCCCCAGTGCTGTACCTATCCATCCTTCCTGCCTTGATGGCAGTTTTACGAAACATAACTACGTGGATTCACCTATTGTTAGCTGGTAAGACTGACAAATCAGGGATGGCCGGGGGTTCTTTTTTAGGAAGATGCCACACAGCCACTGCATCCATGAAAGAGCAGCGTGCCTGACAGAGGAGAAGGCTCAGGAAGTGCAGACGGCTCAGACCTGTCAGCCAACTGCACCTTGATTCTGAGCTTTGTCATTTCACATTGTCTGCTCACTGTCCTCTCCGCTTCCTGTTTGTATTTAGGCCAAAGTGTCATCTTCCGGTCATAGCCCCTCCATGGTTAGCGGAGTTAAGGACACAGATGGTATAAAAGAAATGCTTTTTTACTAGGGCTCGACTGATCAATCAGTTGAGAGCATGTCGTGTCCTCCCACCCTGTTAACATCTGATCCCTGAAAGCTCAGCTCCAAGTCCTTTTGGCCTAGAAAGTGGCCTGGCCAGATCAGGCAAAGTTTATGAGCCCTCAGAGCTTTCCCTCACCCAGGGAAGGCAGAGCCGCTGTTTCCTTCTCTATTCCAGAACCCTGGACAGCCCTGGAGAGCCAGGGAGCTGCTGGTACAGAGAGCTCTCCCTCGCTGCGTGTTTATTTGGAAAAGCATAGAAACAAGCAAACAAGATGATGACCTTTTGCTAAATGGGCCTAAAGCTGGAAAGTAAAATTGCATTTGAGTATTTAATGGGGTTAGGAGCAGAGTGAGATAGTCATGAGGGAGGGAGAACACCCTCATTGTGGAAATTACACAGCCCTGTATGAATGGAAATTCCATCCAACAATCTGGAAACATTGACTTGAGTCCCAGCTGTGATTTGCTGGGTGGGTGACCAGCAGCAGTGCCTCCAATCCAGGCACAGTCAGTTGGGGCCTCTCTCTCTTTCTCTTGTACACACATGTGCGCATACACACACACACTTGTATGCATATTCCCTTACATGTACATATAGCTACCCGCGATACCAGTGCATTATTTGTTAATCTCCCAAATTACGACTCTCCATGGCTTACAGGAGTGTGCCCTGCACACTCCTATATACAAACATACAAGCACACACATACACAAATACACAATTTTTCTCCTAACCTCACTAGTTACACCTCACAATCATACAACACACCTTTCACTATGCACTGCATGATCTCCCAAAAAAACCCTAAAACCCCAGGCACAACACAGCTACGTGGTGCACAAGTAAACGCTTTTCCATCCATTGCACACCTTCCAGGGATAAACCAGCATTCATCAGAAAGCTGGTTCACATGCCTCATGAGACACGGCACACCCAAGCACAGTTGCATTCACTAAGCTCTCCTCCCAACAGTCTGATACTCAGTGTCTCAACTGTCACAGGAAGTCAGGATCCACAATACCTTAACGGCGTAGATGTTAGCAGTGGTGTCCGTCTTACCTGGACCACAACCACTTGGATGGAAACATGGTCTGGGAGTCGGATTGGTGCCCGGAAATACTGAGACAGAGCAACCAGCAGATGTAAGATGGCTACCAGGCTCTTGGCATGAACAGCTGAAAGGGAAGAGGATTTTAAAATTAGAGCATCTTCTGTTAGGTTCTAGGCAATATAAGTGGATATTCAAAATGGGGTGGTACCAGACTCAGTGCCCCTTTATTCCACCCTGAAGGTCAGGGGATACCCTTGGTCATCATGCAGCTCCTCCAGGGCCCTCTCACTTCTTAGCCAGGTCACATGGAGTGCTTCTTGAGTCTTATTATTGCTGGACTTCCAATAGGGAATCCCAAGTCTCATCAGGACCCTGAAATCTGCTGACTTCTGAGCTTGGAGCACTGTCCAAGCCCCAGGCCCCCGGTCACTCCATTCGAATAATCATGAGCAAGCTTGCTGTGTACCCTCTCCTTTCCCACCTGACCAGAGGCTCTGGATTATCACCACTTCCCCTGCCCAAGACCGCTCACAGGTAACTCAGGAACACCGGGCCCTTCCTTTGTGTGGGGCTTCAAGGTCCCCGAGATCCCTCCGAAGGGCTTTGCTGCTTCCTTGAGTGCCTTGGAGGCCGCGTTCAAGGCCCATCAGCCTCAGAAGCTTCTAAGCCCTGTACTGAATGTTACGCCCTTTCCACTAGGGAAGGCTGGGCCCTATCGGGCTGTGGTTTTCTTGATAGATGAGAAAAAACACTGATTTAATGAGGTACTTATAGTGTCAGGGAGCTTGAAGTTTGACCTTATTACTGCCACTTACTTATGAGGTCCCTGACTTTAGAACTCTTCCCTTTATTCCCTGGCTACTTGACCTTGGGCAGAGTGAACGATAAGAGTCTGCAAGGATGCACAGGTTGAAAGGCTTTCCGAAGGTAACGAAGAGACTGCGCATATATTTTATATTTGTATGTTATATATTTTTATACAAAATATATACTAAAAAATATAAACCGGAGTGCAAGTACCTGGTGCCGAGGCAATTAAAATATACTAGCACTTTCCGCGTCCTTTTTCACAAAAGGGAAGATCTGCCTTCGGGGTCCCACCAGCAGCACAGCTCCACATGACATGGGACACTCAAGGGAAGAGGCCAGAGCACCCTGCGTGAGAACTCAGAACTCACAACGCACCTCACATTCTTAGCTATCGTTTCCCTTCCCTGGGATCCATGGGTCAGTCTGCTTTAGCCGAACCTTTGAGAAATCACTTAGAAAGGAAATGATTCAGATGTTCCTTTGGCACTCACTAGAGTTTTTGTTATCATCACTATTTCAAGGAAGGCTTTCTGCTGACCAGGAGCAGGAGTCAACATTATCACCAAGCAGTGGGTGCCCAGCCTTCTAGCAATTTTAATTCAGGATCCACCCAAAGGGACCTACAGAGGTAGCCTTGAAAAGAGGGTCTTGCCCGGGGATGTAGTTCCATGGTACATTATGCACCTGGCACACGCCAGGTCCTGGACCCAGCCCCCAGTACTGCACAGAACAAACAAAAAACCCCAAAAGGCTCCTGGCTGGGACTGACCCACTGACGTGGCAAGGTTGTTGAGGGACAGAGGCAAAAACAGTTTTCTTTTCCAGTCAGAACTGTCATGCCATTCCTGGGCCTGTCCTCGAGGCTACACACACACACAGTGGACAAAGGTGTTAACTAGTGTACTAAGACATTATCATCAAAAACACAATGCTGGAAACAAGTTCAGTAGCAAGCGGATGGTTAAATCAGTGGTTCTCAAATATTCTTTTTTAAAATCAAGCTGATAGGCAGAACTCATGAAAAAAGCACAGACACAAAGTCCTCACATCCTAACCGCAGCCCACGGATGGCTGCTTCTCTATCCAGTAACACCTGACTTTCTCCTTGCAAATCCCTGTTGGACCAAGCGTGGTTTGTTTCCTGTTTGTTTTGCACCCGAGGCCTTTGAGCCGAGTTACAGCCTCAGCCGCTGTTGTTTTTAAGTTGCCCAAGCGGGGTTTGAACTTACACTCCTCCCGCCTCAACTTCCTAAAGTGCTGGGATTACAGACCCGTGCCACCTCATTTGATAAGCCTGGTTTAATAATCAGTGTTTCCAAAGTTATGGGATATTCACGGAATGAGATAGTTCTATGCATTGAAAATCTTTGTTAAGCAAATGTTGCCATGAATACTAAAATGTAATGTTAAAGGGAAACTGAATAGAAACAAAGTAAGAATATACATTTATGGAGATGTGATGCAGAAATAACAGATACATATACACATACATGTATGTGTGGATGTATATATACATACACATGCACACACAAACCAGTACTTCTAGCTAATGCTCTGGAAAACATAGTTTAAAAATGAAAATAGTGATGCTGGTCTGGAAAGGTCATTTAAGTGTAGTATCCTAGTTCCAAATTTTCTGTACGCCTATGCCATCTTTTCAGTTAAAAATAGCTGTAACATGTGTCCTGTGTTCAGGCACCCTCATCACTGCTGCCTCTCATGGAGCCCAGATGCCCAGCACTGGGCAGGGAACAAAGCACCATAAGACCAAGGGCCCAGCCTCCCCTACGAATGAGGCACTGCGCTGAGAGGGTCACTCCAGAGCTGGAAGACCCCTGGAAAAAGAGTAGCCGAGTTAGCAACAGTCATGTAAACATGTCCTGCGGTGGAAATGGACGTTGGTGCAATATCCTGAAAGCAAGTTGATGCTAATGTATTATGACCTTAAAAATGTACATACCTTTTGCAAAGCCCTAACGTATACTTCCCAGGTATTCATTCTAAAAGAATATGGCTATCACTTTCAGTAGAGAGAACTCATCACACAGGATAGATATTAGTGACAAAAATAAGAAATCTAAATATCTCATCATTAGTTATACAAATTATGATAAGACATACAATGCCATATAATATTAACATGACATGTAAACTGGACGTGGAGGTACACACATGCAATCCCAGCACTCTTTGGGGCTGCGGTAGTGGGATCACAACTTTGAGCACAGCCTTAGCAAATTAGTGACTTACAAGACCTTGTTTCAAAATAAAAATAAAAAGGGCTGTAATGAAAGCCTTAGGTCCATCTCCAGTATTAGGGGCTGGGGATTTAGCTCAGCGGCATAAGCGCCTGCCTTGCAAGCAGGCAGGTGTGAGTTCGATCCCTGGTATCAACAAAAAGGAAAAAGACAAAAAAAAAAACCAAAACAAAACAAAACTACACACACACACACACACACAAAAACCTCCAGTATTGAGAAAAAATAGTGACCTATAAAACATTTAATGACTTGTGAAGGCATACATTTTCCAAACAACATACGTAGGTTGATCTCATTTTTGTGAAATTATGTGTGTGTATGTGTGTGTATTCTCCCTTATCTGAGGTTTTCCTTTTTGTAGTTTGAGTTTTTCAAGATCAGCTGTTGTCCAAAAATATTAGCAGAAAATTCCAAGAACACACAATGTGTAAGTTTTATATTACATGCTGTTCTGGGTAATGTGGTGAATTCTGGAGCTGGGCTCCTATCTTAATTACTTTTTTCTTGTTGCTGAGACAAAATACCCAATACCCAAAGTTAAGGGAGCTAAGGTTTATGTGGTTCAGTTTGTAGCAGTTTCAGTCCATAGTCAGCTGGCTCCAAGGCAAGGTCACTTGTATGGCAGAGGGGGGATGCCAGCGGGGAAACAGGCCATGGCAGGCAGAAGGTAGCAAAATTACAAGGGATGACCACAGCTCTGTCTATGCCTTTAATCTTATCCAGGCCACTTTGGGTGGCAGCACTCACACCCTTCATCCTCGTGCCCTTGATCCCAGTATTGCAATGTGAATCAATCCCAGCGTCACACACGCTAGAGTTAGCCACTTCTGAAAAAGACCCACCTGTGACCACATGAGGCTTTGGAGGGGACATCTAGATGAAAGCCTTACAGCGCCTCTCTCCTGCCCATGATGTGAGTCATCGCTTTGTCCTGCATATCCATGTTGTATGTGTCACTCATCTGTTCATAGCTTGGTAGCCACCTCAGCTACGAGACTGACCATCTTGGAATTACAATGTTTGTAGTACTTTACTGAATGATTGCCCCAAAGTGCAAGAATAGTGATGTTGGCAATTCAGATATCCCATCAAGGAGGTGTGAACTGCTTCCTTTATCCAGGCACGGTGGTGCATGCCTATAATCCTAGCACTCTGGAGGCTGATGCAAGGAGGATGGAAGCAAGTTCAAGGGCCACCTGGGCTCCATAGTGAGTTCAAGGCCAGCTTGAGCTACACAGTGAGTTTCAAACCATCAAACCATCAATCAAACAAACCAAACCGAAGTGCTTCCTTTAAGCAAAAAGCTGAAAGCTCTCAATAAGAAAAATAATGGTATGTTGAGATTAATATTGTTGATAAAGATGAACATTCTAGCCATGAAATGGAGAAAAAGAAAATGTGTCCTACTTGCAGTGTTGCGCTTAAACTGCAAACACAGTGTGATAAATTCTCAATTAAGATGGAAAGGCAGGGGCTGGGGATTTAGCTCAGCGGCATAAGCACCTGCCTTGCAAGCAGGCGGTCGTGAGTTTGATCCCCCGTACTGATTAAAAAAAAAAAAAAGACGGGAAAGGCAGTAAATTTGGGTCTGAATGGGCAAAAAACAGTATAGCTAAGATGTGGCACTATCAGTGGTTTCAGAAATTCACTGGCGTCTTAGAACCTGCGGTGCACAGGTGACTTAGTTCTTTATGACACACAAGCACAGAGTGGTCACAGTGCCTGTCACCGGGTGGGCAGCTTCAGGGCTGTATGTGTAGGCTTAGCACGCAGGCTCTGCCGGGGAGTTTTAGGCTCTGATTCCTGGCTCTGCTGTTTGTCATCTGTGTGCGTCTGGACGGTGACATTCCTTTAGCAGATATTATTGTGCTTCATATGTGCCAGGCACTCTGCCCAGTTACAGCAATACAGCAGTGAAGAAGCAAAGGAAGCTTCACCCTCATAAAACTGACATTTATGATGACTCACGATCCCGTGCCTTGATTTTCCCAGCTGTAAAATGGAGATAATAAAAACTCTTACATCGGATGGTTGAGAAAGGATTACAAGGAAAAAAACATGTTGTGTTTAGAAAATCACAAGGAAGCCAGTAAACAATATAATATATGATGGATGTTAATATTTACATTTCTTGTATTTGCACTTTTAATAATAAAAATGTAATCCATCAACTGAGGAATGGATTAAAAAGATGTGGTATTTTTATACAATGGAATACCACTCAGCCACAAAGAAGGAAAAATTTGAGACTTTTATAGGTAAATGGATGCAACTTGAGACGATACTCATAAGTGAAATAAATCAAACTCCCATGTGTAAACATCACATGGTCTCCCTTGGTGAGAAACCGAACTATTAAATAAGGTCTAAAATGCACAGTAGATACTGTCAAATGGGAGAAAATTATTCAAAAGGAAAAAGGAACTAGGATGGGTGAAAGGGTAAAGGACAGAAGGAAAAGGGGATACGCTTAGAGTCTCTTAGTTCATTAAAAGGAAGATGTGTGCTAATAGCTATTGGAGAAATTTTCATGCCCACATCTTTTTCTTTTTATAGCTTTTTTTTTTTTTTTTGTCTTTTTCATTTTTATCAGTACCAAGGATCGAACTCACGACCGCCTGCTTGCAAAGCAGGTACTTATGCCACTGAGCTAAATCCCCAGCCCATGCCCACATCTTGTACCTTGAGTGACTATTTTAAAGATAACAACATGTAATATATTAACTGTTGTTATTGTCATAAAATTTTGTTGTATATTTTCTCCGTAAAAAATTTAAAAACTCTCCATAATAAACATTACTGTTGTAAACAGAAAAAAGAAAAAACAAATTCCTAAAGTCCTAAATCATCCCTGCTAAGCAGAAAGGTGACACAGTGTCCCGAGATACACAGGCAGGTTGATACCAGAGAGAGAGAGGGACAGAACTTCCCCTGGGCTGTACCTGTCACAATCCTTACAGGACAAACCCCAGTCTCTACACAAGCCCAGCCTTTCCCCATCCCCTGAGGCATCTCAGGGCTGTGAGATAATCATCCCGTGGGACCTGGCAATTCATCTCTGTTCTAGAAGATCTACGGGCAATAATTCAAGAGAAACAGACACAAGCTAGGACTTACAGCTTGGTGCTATCAGATGTTAGCCACAGGTTAGAGAACATCATTACAACGGTTACTGTGAACCGAGAGTGTAAGTGAACTGTAAGGATATTTACCCCAAGACATGAAATGGTTATAAAAAGCTACAACTACAAACACAAAGACAGAAACTATATATTGCTAAATATTAAGAGAAAACGAGAAAACACAATGGTGTATGTCACTGAACTAAGTAAAAATACGCATTAGACTGACCAGGGCAAAAAAAATAAAAATAGCTAGACTGGAGTACTAATACAAGTAATTTCTCTGACATACACTTTGAAATTACAGCAGTCATGAGCCAAAGATAACATTTAGACCTGCATTAAGACAACGCTCTTGACGTGAGTTTGCAAAGTCCCATCTTTCTATTTCCGCCTTTCCAAGTTGGGGGTCACAGTCAGGTGGGAGAGGATCCCATTGGGCAGCATCATGGAGGCCAACCAGGGCTCTTCCTTTGAGAAATTCTAACACTCAGGACTATGCATTTCCAAAATGCACGCACATTGTTTAAACTAGTGACCGCCCCCCTGCCCGCCCCAAATGCTGTTAACATTCCTGGGATTCGGGGACTAGAGACCCTCTCCGAGGCAGCTCTGAAGCCCAGCCATAGTCCCCTCTACGCTCACTCTCAAGGGTCTCCTTGGGCTTGGCAGAGCCTGCCCTGATCCAGGGCTGCATCAGCAGAGGTGTAATTCCCCTGAAGCAGGTACTTGTCACCTGCTCTTCAACATCAGATGTGAGAAACCTGAAGGAAACTTTGCCACTAGCAGCTACTGGGTCACTTAGCTTAGAGGTGAAAATTTCTTTTACTTTCCCAAGTTTGAAGGATTTTTTTCCCCCAGGGGGGAGGTATTCACTATAAATTGTATAAACTACACGCACTAAATATACTACCTAATCCCTGATACTTAAAGCAAGTACACAGTCTACGCATTTCATTTGTGTTGTAACAATTCATGTTTTTATTTATTACAAAGGACTCCCTTTGGGAAATACACTGTTACTATGAGATTCACCCTTCCTCTGATTCATTGTTGATGGACACAGAAAGCCTATGTTGGACCCCTGGCCTCTGAGCCAGTAAAGAATGAATGGCTTATGCTTTGAGATTCCTGAGCGGTGTAGCTGTGAAAATGGGATTGAACATTCCCATTCTAGTGCCTGTGATCTCATCCCATCCTTGCTCCTTCTGGCAAACTGTCCTGGAGAAAATCAATGAAACCGGGCGAGTGGCAGAGTATGGGTTTTGGACCTGGACATACGGACCTTAGCTTCCCAAAGCCTCTACATATGTGAGATAACCACTATTTCAAAAGACTGTACTGGGTCTCAGAAACATCTCAATAAATACAAGTTTCCTTCTTCTCCAAACCTCATGTGACATTTCTAGAGACAGCATTTTATACAAAGGAATACTGGCTTGGGGCATTTTGCTTTCTTCCCCTAAGCAGATGCTAGATAAATGTTTTTTGAAGGGTGCATCTCACTCAGAGATAAATGAGTTTGCATTGGAGCCTGATGGCTTCTTGGAGAAGCCACAGAGGAGGGACCGCGGTACCACCAAGGACACCCTTCCCCTTTGTACAACTCACAGTCCACGTTCCACTTGATGCTCCTGGGAGGAAGTTTCAGGGTTTCATTGATTTTCTCCAGGACAGTCTGCAGTTTTTGCTTCTGAGCAATCTCTGACTGGGTGACCTCCGCGACATTAAGCTTCTCACTCTCAAGTTTCTCTGGGAAGAAAAAGAGCAGCTGTTACCCTGGGCCGCAGACAGCCCTAATTTATGCACCTGTTCGCCCACTCATTGCATTCCGCTTCCCAAATACACCCAGTGGTCCCTCACACCCATGTTGGATTCATCCTACCAACTCCCTGTCATCACCAAAATCCATGGATGCTCAATGCCCTTATATAAAATCTGCATATGACCTATGCATAACCTTCTGTACGCTTAATCATCTCCAGATTACTTATAACACCAGTGCAATGCCAGTGCTAAGTTATATGCTATGACACTGGATCGTTTCGGGAATAATAGGCAAGTGAAAAAGTCTGTGTGGGTTTAGGACAGATGCAATTTTTGTTGATTATTTTTGGCCCACAGTAGGTTGAATCTGCAGACGTGGAGCTCGCAGATACAGAGGCTTACAGCCTTGGGCACCTGCCAGGGGAGGAGCTTGCAGCTTACCTGGTGGTGGGATGGGCGGTACCAGGAGTGGGAGAGTTTTTTGACTGTCTTGAACCTTCAGGATCACAAAAATAGGGTGTTTTGCCCCACCTACCATATTTGAACTCTCTTCCATCTTTCTGGGGTTTCTCTCCTCTTTTCAGTTCCACCTTTTCAGAGGGCCCCTCTGTACCCCAGTTGGGTAGGCTACTTTGTTTCTCCTCGGCAGTCAGCCAGGTCCTTATTCAAAGCACCTTGTATACAGTATTTACTGTATCTGATAGACTGTATACAATATGTACAGTCATTTATTCTATCTGATGAAAGCACCTTTTTTTTAAACCCACCTGGAAGGTAACTCATTTGATGTGCCATATTTCATCAAGAGTCAGGCACACACTTTTCACACATTTAACACCCCTAAAATCAGCTTGCGTCTTAAAATGGATGGCATCCTACAGAGATTGCCAGCCAGGTAGGACACATGAGAATTATTACTGCCACCACATGTGTGAATTTAGCCATAGATCTTCATGGGGTGGTCAGTTCCATGTCTCCATAAGCCTATAAGAGCATCTTCAAAAAATAAAAATTGTAAGTCAGGAAAAAAACAAAACAAATCCTTCTGGGCTTGAGGCTGGGGATGTAGCTCAGCCGTAGAGCACTGGCCTGGCATGTGCAAAGCCCTGAGTTCAAACCCCAGGACTGAGGTGGGAGAAAGTAAAAAAAAGAAGCATTAAGTAAGAGTTCAATCAAAGCAATGCTGACACAAAACACAGCCTAATCATTTATGAATCTAAATTTGCATTTTAATCCATTACAAAGCACAGGAACAACTTCTGGATCTCCGTGATGGAAAATATGTTACCTGCTTCTAAGTTCACCTAACCCCGCTCCACAGCTCACTCAGGACTGACAGAACTGGTCTTCTGTAGTGTGTCTAAAATGCCTTGCCTTTGCATTTTTAAGAGCTACTAAAAAAAAAAAAAAAAAAAAAAAAAAAAACAAAAAAACCTTTACATCCCTGGTTTCCCTAAAGCTTCCATCATTTATTTTGGGTAACAGCAGCTTCTAGAATTCAAATGTCCCTGGGGGGATTCTCTAAAGATGAGGTTGTCCACTGGAAACTTTCTGCAGGTTCTGTGGGCTTCCGTACCCTTTTCAGCACCTTCGTAGGATGATCTCAGGCACCTGTCATCGGTGACGGCCTGAAATACTACCTTTCTCTTCTCCCTAGTGGCTCCGGGGCATCTTTCATTTCTGAACTGCAAGGATGTAATAAGCATCTATTGCAGTGTTTTGCTCTCAGATGCTAAACCTTGAAGAGAACCCACGTGCTGCTAGTTTGTTTGTTTGTTTTCTCCATTTCTAGGTGGAATTCTTATCTCGTGTCCTCTTCTAGTGAAGAAATGGCAAGGTTTTTTTTTTTTTTTGGTTTTGTTTTTGGTCTCCATTATTTTTGGGTGATGTAACTGTCTCTACAGATGCAAGATGTTTTCATTGTACATTGTGACCACAATCTGTTAGAGGCTGCCCAAAGTGCAAGGCTGAGAAACTTCTGAAACCTTCTGTCGGCTGGGAGGAACAGACTGCCAGGATGGATTGTTGATGACTGAATGAGAGGGGGCTGGGGGGAGGGGAGGAGAGAAGTGGCATGACAGCCACTTATTTGCTGGCCACGCTGTACTGATTACATCACCGTCTATGAATTTTCATATTTATAATCTGTTGGCCATGGATTTAGAGTGAATAGCTTAGGTTTCTGACTGTTTTCTAGGTCAACAACTTTTTCTTGTCTATTTCATTCTCATTCGCTAAAAATTGGAGGGCCAACCATGTTTGATGGCCCAAGCCTGTAATCCCAGCACTAAGGAGGCTGAGGCAGGAAGATCCCACATTCAAGGGCAACCCAGACTACGTGGAGGAACACTGTCACAAACGATCGAACATTGGTGAGCCATAATAAGGAACACAGATTTGGTCTCCTGCACCCCTTTCTGGCACAGATCTTCTAAAACTCATAACTTCTTGGGTAGTGGGGTGACAGGGCATCGCCTATTATATGCGCTTCTTTGTCCAGAGTTCTTTCCAGAATGATGTGTTACCAGGGGAGTTAATCAGCAAGTGAAGCCATTGTACCAGCCTCACTCCAGGCTCCCTGACCTCTGGGGTGGGAGTGGGGAGTGGAGGGTGAACTCATCACCAGTGGCCAGTGAGCTAATGAATTATGTGTAGGCAATGAAGCCTCCATAAACACCCAGGATAAAGGGGTTCATAGAGCTTTGGGGTTGGTGGACATATGACGCTGGAGGGCAGTGTGTCCAGGCAGGGGCTGGAGGCTCTGAGCATCCCCATACTTGTCCTATGCATCTTTTCCATTTGGCGGTTGCTGAGTTAAATATAAACTGGTACACTTGAATGCCTCCCTAAGGTCTGTGAGCCACTCTAGCAAATCACACCAGAGGAGAGGGCTCAGGGACCCCTGATTCACAGCCAGTTGGTCAGATGCAGGGGAAGCCCAGCCTTGCAAAGTGGGCATAGTCTTGAGGGATTGCGCCCTTCACCTTTGGGGCTGCACTAATTTAGGTAACATCAGAACTAAATTGCAGGGACACCCAGAGAAGTCTGAGAATCACCTGGTGTGGAAAGCCCTCACATCTGGTGTCAGAAGTGTGCGCACAAAAGTGAGGTTTTCCTTGATTAGATTTTACACCTTCCTAGTGGAGCACGTTGGCTGCCTTGCTGTTTCCACCAGTATTTTTAACGAGTCTGTGCTATTACAATTGTAATGCACTCTTCCCAGAATTAAAATATGTTTTTCTGTTGTTTAGCATCTGGCACTGCTTATTTAGGAGACAGGTCTTTATGGCTTTGCTTTATTTCTTTTGTAATGTAGAGATCTTAGAAAATGTAACCCTGCTTTATTTTTTTCCACTTTAGTCATTATGTTTTGTGCTTATCTGAATTTTCTGTTGTTAGACATTTTATTTTAGACATTGATATTGGTATTAAACGGATTTGCATAGAGAATCTATCTCAAAGTAATCTTTATTAACACAGAGTGAATTCTTTAATAAAAATAAGATTATAGTATATGCTCTTTTTTTTGCTTCTGGCTTTTTTCAATGCAAATATATCATATTTCTAGATATGGATATAATTCATTCTTTAAAAAACTGCAGAATAATCCCTGGTACAAAAACCAAAAACAAAAACAACCCCTGCAGAATGTATTATAGGGCTTGTTATATATTCAACTATTTTCCTGTAGATATACTGCCAGTTATATCCTACTTTTCCTCTATTTGTGATAAACTTGTAATAAACACCTTGTGTGTATTGCTGATTATTGCTGATAAAATAAAAGCCTCATAGATTTTCTTCTTATATATATTCATCTTATAAAATCTCTTCATTAGTTCTTTTATTACTGGTGACTTCAGCATCTCCTGGGTAGGCAAATAAACACTATTATCTGTATTTTGCAAGCTTATACTACTTATTTCAATGTGATTTTTTCCCCCAAAGGTTTAGATGAGAACCTTTTCTGCTACTCCTACTTCGTACTTTATTTTAAGGTATTTACCACTCAGAATTTGACAGGCCCACTCAGACATTTCTGGAGTTAAATAATAACTTTATTTCATCTTACTGGGATTTCAAAATAATTTCCTTCTTAAGGTTCCTAGTTTCTCCTTAGTTCTGTGTTATGCTAGTATTACTGGTTCCTTGAAATTTTTTTATTATTCATGCTTTATTCTTGCAAAAAAATGGTTTTTGAATATTTCTATACATAGTGCTGCATTCTGTTCATGATTAATTTTATATGAAGTACTGAGCATGATTTTAAAATAGGATATGATTTAGAAAATCTCAGGGGGATTGTTCTGTGAATATTTTAGTCATTTTTGAAGTTAGCATAAAAGGTGCCTTTTAGAGAACAATGAAACAATATTTAAAAAGTTATGGAGATAGGGTAGAATAAACTCAGTTACCCCAAATTGTGGAAAAAAATTGAGATTTTTCTAAATAACACAGTGGTCATATTAATGTGACTACCCTTCAAAGGATGCCTTAACTATTTAACAAACATTTTTGTCTTCAAGTATTGGGGAGCATTTGGTCAGGTTTTATTTTATTTTTAAATTGCCATTGAAGAGAGTTTGGTTTGTATACTAATCTGCTGAGACTTCCTTTATGGATCCACAATTTATAAGACTTCCATGTGTAGAAGAAAAGAATGGGAACACTTCAGTTTGTGGGTCTATCATGTCCTTATGGCTTGCATCCAGGGGTGTGTGGGGTTGGGATTAAGGCTGTAATGCTGGCATGACGATTAGGGGTGCATGCATGTAAAGCAGCACGCTGGTTGGTTTACCATGATTGTGGGGTGGCTAACGGGAGGGCCCACCCTGTGTGTGGATACCCTGGAAGGTGTAAAAGGGAAGACAGGCTGCTGCTGCTGCTTGCTGTCTCCTGCCTGCTTACCCTGGATATAGTACTTCTTCTGTACGATGCTCCTCTGCCAGGCTACCCTACTTTGGACCAGCAAACTACGGATGAAA